ATCGATTTGTCTTTACACGCGAATTGGTATAGAGAGGCGAACATAGCCCAGATCTATCTATCAACGGTGTAGAAAGATGGAAAAGGGCGTTCTCGACAAAAAAAAAAAAACGTAGACACGCGTGGAAGAGCGATGACGCAATTTAAAAACTGACGTATCTTGTTAAATCGCTATTAAAACCATAGCATACGTGTTTCACCATAGTTGTTAAACGATATTTCATATCGACGAAACGGACTGTCGTTATTTTGAGAGCGTACGATAACAGAATCTGGCAGTGAAAATAAATGAATCTATATTTCTTGTATTATTAGTGATACACACACATCGTGTTCTTATACCTATTACGAATGTAGTAAACCTTAAAAATAATTATAGTGTAACTATAGATTTTTATTGCAAAGAAAAATTTATTCGCGTTTTATTATGGTCATTTTATATAGAAATACAATGATCAACAAATTCGGATACAAATATTAATATGTAATTTATTTGAACTTTAAAAAACAAGACAAGTGTAAGATTATTTCTGTCATTACCATTCTCAGGAGAACAGTTTCCATGAATAATTGTCATTACTATTAAATCATTCCAATTGTTACGAGCGTGTCCTAATACAATTCGAATGTTCTGCCACGCAGAGCTCGTTCGATAGTTACGTGTGACGGACAACCTATTTATGCTTCCTGGATCCAGTTACGTTCGGACCACCGATTTTGTCGAATAGCAATGGCGAATTGGTCTTCAATGGAAAATGTATTTCACGAGGATCTGTACAAAATCGTCGTTATCTAATGATCCATTCAACAGAGAATAATCCAATTAATTCAGAGGAGCGTATTGTAATGTTCAATGGAACAGTTTATAGCCAATGAGATATATCTCACACCAGACGCGGCGTAAGAAACGAAAACACAGACTAGATTAGGTGATTAGACATAACTGATGAGGTGAAATCTAGGGAACCCCATGCATATTTTCAGAATAATTTATATTTATTCGTTAATTAAATTACTTAAAAGGATGTCGGTTTACCTCAGAATACAAAGCAACTAGTTGTGTAATAAGTAGCCTGCGGATGTTTATGCAAATGTAGATTTTTGTCGGTCAAACTAAAAAAATTAAAATCAAACATTTCACTTTCTTTACTATTCTACCAGATTCAAAATAAAGTGCAAACCTCCCTAAATTGTATTAAACACTTGAGTATAGTGAATTATAGAGAATCCTGTATGCAACACATGCATAACGTCCCCAATCTACACTAATGAGATTTGTGTAACAACTAACAAGATTTCCACCTCACCAGTTAAGGGTTAAAAATTAATTAGTTTTACATTGAAGGGGTCCTAACAAAAACGGTCTTCGGAAACAAGAACGAAAACTTAAAAATGGTGTTTCAACGAGGTCGGGATCGTTCCCCAATTCGTGACAAGACCGCAAATTTCCTCTTTGGCGGGGGTGCGTATCCGGTCGAAGCTTCCGTTCGGAATCCAAGAAATTCAAATCGAGTCGCGAAGACAGTAGCAGCGAAGCAATTGCCTGTCTCGTGTGTACTCGGCTGTAGAGCGCAATTGCTGTATTTTTGAAGTCACCTTTGTGTTTCTTTGTTTTCAAATTTCGCAGCTACGCTTGAACTTGGGTGGGTAACTGAATTCTATTGGTCGCTGCGAGCCGTGCCAGCATTCATTCCATCTCTAACGCTCGACACGATACTGTTAAGAAAGCATTCATTGTTGGAATTCTAGCGAGAACTATATCCCCCTTTTCTTTCCGCTGGTTCTCTGGCTGTTATCCGAGCCGTATCCTCTCGGCTCCTCCTGCATCGACGAACGAACTGAACCACCCCAGCGTCGAGAGCTGCGTTTATTTAGGACGTGGTCTCATCATGAAACGATAATATCACGGCCGACCAGGCAACGATTAATGGAGCAATCTCGGCTGTGACTGATGTTATACGCAATCGGGAAACAGCTTCTGGCTTTTCATCGGCTTCGGAACGCGTACATCGCGCGCGCACCCGCGACCCGACCCTGTGGAATTACCTGGCTTATACGGGGACCGTCCAATCTATTCAGCACCGGGAAATTTACTTTACGACTTATTGCGCCGGTGTTTAGGGTCACAGTGCGACCGTGCCGTCGCTTGTGCTCGTAGGAAACGTCACTGATACTCTATTTATTGGGTACATCAGCGATTATTTAACCATAGATTGTTTTAGGGGTTGGAACCTAATTTTGAAATTCTTGGAACTTGTAATCGAAACTATGCAAGATTTTGGAACTCTCGAAACTTGAAGCGATGATTTTTTTTTTTTTAATTTTAATCTTTATTGACCATGGGTAAACGAAACATGAATGGAAACTTAACATTATATTCACTTATCCTTTTTTTTTTCACTTTTCAGACGTTCATACGAAATTCCCTAAATCCAGCTGTCTGTTCTCCAGGAAGGTTGTTGATTTGATGATGTTGATAACCTTCGATGAAAAATTTAAGTTCAATATTTTTGTTTCTTTCGTTTTTCGTGAGTTTAAAAGCACTTATCCTGCATATTGTGGGCAGCAACCTTATTTAACAAAATCGTTCGATACACTGAAATATCAGTTTAGATGCACGATATTGTCTGCAGACAGTCTGATTGGATTTTTTATTGGTGGAAATAATTGTGATGGTCCTACATTATTAATTTTTAGGTGACAGTAAAATTCAGAAATCGTTTCGAAGGTCGTTGAATACGTGAAGACGATATAGAACTCGTTTGATTTCGTCTCATAATTTTATTATTTGCGAATCAAAGGGGACAGAGATAAAATAATAACGCGGGACGGCGGAGTCGACTAATTGCCGACACGTAAATGGAAGTGATTAAGAAGAAAGTTTTTCCATTTGGGGACTTCATAATCTCGTCCTTATTGATTTAAATGTAACTTCGTGAAATAGAAATTGCTCCTTAAATCGGAGTTTCCCGGGGAAATATGAGTTTCGCGTCCTCCGATTTCAAGATGGGGGGAAACATCGCTACTTCCGAAGTTTGCATTGAGGCACCTTGAAGTAGTTTACATTACAACTGAAGTCACCGTCACGTCTCCTAACACTTCAACTTTCTCAACACTCGAGGAACCTCGGGATTTGTCTTTTCAATGAATTTGACGTGGAAAAAGTTTATCGTCGCTCGAAAAACACAGGAATATAGAATTCACGACCGGTTATACGATTAATAATCGATTCGGCACTGAAATTAGACGACGAATAAAGGCAAAACGCGTGTCATATTCCTCTCTTTTTAACGAATCCGTTTCATCATGAACTTATTCAGCACTGCATTTAATAATTCCCGAATGCCAAGTTTCATAATTCTCGCGAGAAGTTAACAACAGCGGCTGTACTCGTTCAGTTAATTTCGTACCAAGCACAACGTGTAAGTTCGGACAGTTATTACACTTTAAATCAAGCGAGATATATATTCAGTTTCTTACGGTGTCAGATTAACGAGCTTCCGGTTCAGATTGTTGTTGACTTCCGGCTCTATTCAGAACGTGAAATTTAATTTTGCTTAAATCGAAGTAGGCTTGCCCATAGCTTACTATATATAAATATGCTGTTCGGCAAATAGAATTTAATTCAGTAGAATTATAGTACAATTATAGTACAGTAACTTGCATAACGATAACTGTGTTTGACGTTATGACTTGCAGTTTCCTGTTTTAAAGAAACTGTAAAACGGTAAGCGAAAATTAAATAAATCTGTTTCAGAGCAATATTATTATTAAGCGTACAAAATATGTTATACAACTCGGAAAAGAGCGAAGAAACAATTTTTTGTTTCGTATAATTTCACTTTGAAACGTTTCCAGTAACATTTAGAATGTTTCCTCGTCGAATAATAGTCTATTTTTAAACGACAGAATGTAAAATTAATTTCTAGCATGAAATCAGAATATTCGACAGACACGAGGAATATATGCAGTCGTATCCTTGGAAAGTTCAATTGCACTTTGCAAGCGTATCGCTGTACCTCCGAGGAAAAAAGATAAATAAAATCAGAGGAAGTTAGTCGTTACCGAACCATGCAACATTTCCATCTGCTATTCATACTTTCTTGTACTTTCGCTTGGAGAAGACCTATAGTCCGTCCAAGTTATGAAAATTACTTTCCGCGGCAGTCATGGCGGAACATCGTTGAACTCCCGACAGTAGGTCATGATTTCCAACTTTAAATTACCATTTGACTGTCTCGAATACTTGACAAAAGACTGCGGGTAATTGTTCCCAATAAGCGTACTTGTTTTGACAGGCTGCCGTTCAACGGAATTTCTAACGAAACGAAATCAAATTAAAATTGACTTTCAATGGAACTGATTTTTCAATTGTAATTGACATTCGACGTTATTTCTTTTACGAAAATTGATATGAAATTTTCATAATTCCATTTTCGACAATTTTTCTACCAAAAGTCGATAAACTGAAATGAAAAATTATACCTCAGATCATGAGAGACTAAATGATTCGCAAGAATTTTTTTAATACATCAAGTTCACTAATCTATAATTTTTTTGTATTATTTCAAATCAATACTTTTCATTCCCACTGTTTCAATTACCAAGTTTTCTGGTTCATTCGGAACGATTGATTTCAGTCTTCCAATTTTCAGTCAGCTTCAGAGGCAATCGATTAATATTAAACATTGGTCTCTTGCCTTTATCGGAAAAAGAAGTATCTGAATGAAAATGGTTGCAACTGAATGGCCGGGAAAATGTTCACCTCTAATTTAAAAGGTCGGTCGGTTTCATTAGGAGGCTCTTTATCGATATAAAGATTCATTTAAATCATCCGCGGGAGATTCAGCTGGAAATCTTACGGTTTCAGATAAGAGAAACGAGAAAGGCCACGAGCCATCGGGAGCATTCTTTTATCCGCAAGAGCACCTAATTTACCGTTACGTTTCATCCATCTGGCTTGGTCATTAATGTTACCATTCTCCTTTTGCCTTTTTCCAGGACGGCAATCGAGGAATCTGGAAATATTAGGACAGATATCGAGCCACCATCATGGGACGCAGTATGCATCGATGTCAGAGAGTTACAAAAACAGTAAGTTTCTATCATACACTGAATAGAAGGGATTCGAAAGATTCAAACGATATATTATACTTAATTTACAACAACAAAAAACGATACTTCGAAACCTGTTATTTCGTTTTGGTCGGTTCTATAAACTAATTAGTTAACCCTAGAACTACCGATGACGAATGTATATTTATTTCCATCCGATCGATTAACAGGACAACCTTTTGAAAATATTAAAATTTATATGGCAACTAATTTCTTCATTTTCAGACTGTAATAAAGGTTGCGAACGATCTGTAAAAAAACATTGTTGTAACATTTTAATCATTGGCATAAATCAGGTATTAGTCATTTCGACTGATTTGGTAGTTCTAGTGTTAATATCAATTCTGGTTCTACTATTTACAGTATCGAACAAATGAATTCGGGCAGAGATGTTTTACTTTTTGTAGTTGTTATCGTGTTCACTATTTAGTCCAACGCTACCATTCATAAAAGTTACACCAAATACTTGCATATTACAAAATATAGAATTTTATCTATATTTAACTGAACAAAAGTATGCAGACTCTGAAACATGAGATTTGTAAAAATATGAACTCCTGAATATGGACTCCAGAGCCAGAGTGTATTAAATACCACATTCTTTAAAAAATGACATTTAATTGAGTCCATATTTTGTTCAGAGACAAACAGTATAAAATCCATCACATAGAGGACTTAATGCAATTTACACTATTTCTACACATCGACACTTGTTATAAGTCTAGTAAAAAATTCGAAGGTAGCGATTGTTGCTCATTAAATTCCTATAAAACGGTTCCAAAAATACGTTTTCGCATTTTGATTCTCTCTCCCCTAAAGTTTGAAAAGTGTGCATTAATACACTTTGACTCTACAGTCCAGAAATACGTTCCTCGTTCTATTCCGAGGTCTTAACAGCGTTCGCCTCCGATTACGCGATAGAATCGTGTCCAAGAACTCCCGTTTATGGATGCTGACACGTGTATAAAAGAACATCAAGCCTCCACTCGTATATCGTTCAAACGATTGCCACTTTGCAAACTGCCACGAGGCTGAAACTAAAGTAACCGATGACACCTGTGTGTTCACGGTGAAACGAAGAAGCACGTTATTTCCAGCTCGGTAACGAGACGAGCGATCATTCAACGCTGACCGTAATCCAGCTTCGAATCAGTACCGAGAACCGCGAAATCTCGCGGGGATTAACGTGATAGAAATCCTCGATCCCCGACTACTCTCTCTCTTTCTCTCTGTCTCTCGGTTCCAGCTCTGCTGGGATGTTGAAAATCACACGCTCGCGGTGAACGTCTAGCGGAACGCCCGGCATTATTGCTGTTGGTGCTGTTGTTCCCGGTAAAAGCCGAAATAAACTAGAAAACAGCCGTGTTTTCGCATTGCGTTAACGACTGAGCCGCTATACACGCCATTGGAGGATGGGTGGTGGGGCAATGAAAAGGATCGTTTCGCGTGGGATCCAGCGCGCATCGGCCCACCATTGTAAAGTAACTTCTCTCGCAGGTAGATTCTTGTACCGGCCTAAACTTCGTCCTTCTTCTGCGTGGTTATTACCTATATGGTGTATCGTTAATGGTGGTGAAACTTCATCGTGGTGATAACTGTATTTAATTGATTCCAGTGGGACATAATCCTCGTGGAAACTGCGCTGGATACGGAATTTTTACCAAACCTAGATATCGAATAACCATTAATTGATATTACTAGATAGAGTTCGTTCCCGAGCGGATGATATCGATAGACGGGACTGATAAATGATAATTGTTTGTCGTTAACAGCGTTGCTGGATCTGACTTCGTTTGATGCCTGTCGCTGACGAATCGATTGATCGTTACGCTCTCCGGCGGGGAGTAATTGAAAATATAAAATATCCGTTTGATCGTTTTCGATAACTCGAATTTCTGTGGTTTAGTATTTTAGTATCTGGTGGTTTCTTGAATCAGTTTGATAAATTCTAGCATCGTGTTAATGGAAAAGAAGTTGGAATGTTCGGTTTTGTAGCGTTACACGTATTTAATTTGTTTTGACATTTATGTGTTCTTTGGGATATATGAATGATCGATAGTGTGCGTACCGGTCCGAAATGCAAAGCTTTCGCAGAATTTCCATATTTTATTCAAATTGATGATATTCGGTAGCGGATCCGGAGATTTCGTAAATTTATGATAAAGCTAGTAATTATGAATTGGTCGGATTTTTAAGCCTGACGGGTTAATACAGGGTCACGCAGTAAGAGGGATGAATATTATTAAATTATTCATTACAGTTGAGTGCTTTGGGATACTTGTTGATCACGGGCGAAAAGTTCTTTTATCCGATTGAAAATTGGAAATGTATCGTATTTAAATATTGACTACGGTAAGGAATTAATTCAGAAGCATAATCAGAGAGAAAACACGTATGATCCTATTAACTGAAAATTTCCAGTAACTGTAAAACAATATCAACATCCAATTCCTTATTTGAAACAAAAATATGAAACTAAACGTCGCTGAACTCGTGATATTACAGCGAAACATTAATCTCGCATGAGGAAGACATTTCCCATGCAATAACAAGTCGTTCGAAAATTCGAATATTCGGTCGGTTGGTCGTCGGAGGGTGAATTTGTAAAATCAATCTTTCACCGCTGACTTTCTCGATCGTTCCGCAGAATTTATTTAAAATATCTGTTACACGCTCTCCCATCGCAGACTGTTATCGTATCACTGAGTTATATCACCGTATCGAAATTCCGGGCGTATCATGATGTAACCGATAAAGTATGAAAGGGCAACCGTTCATTTCAATATTCCATCGTAAACATTTTCATGGCATTCGACGATCGATAATTGTAGCAAAATCGAGGGGAAATGTGACGGAACTGTGGTCGTGGCGAACGTTTTTGCTGCAGAACGGAAACCTACATCATGACATGTCATGGGAATCTGACGCAATACTGTCCGTGTCGACTAGTGACTTCGATCCTGCAATGTTTTTTATCTCCTCACGTTTGGTCTCCTAACTGTTAAATAGAGGTAACTATAACACGATCAAACTCAATGCATCACGATATTTTAGGGGTTTCTTGAGCGGTAACGTTGATCATGCTTTTATTGCTTGACAGAATTTTCGTCATTCAAATATTCTTTTATTTCGACTGTTATCGATACATTTGTTACTTTTACATAGTATGTAATGAATACACGAAATGTGTTTCACACAGTAAAGACTTCATGAGAGTTTGAAACTCTGGTCCGCTTCAAAACTTTTACGGTGCACCACGAATTGTTACAACACCTCGCAAATCAAAAGTATAGGCATTGTAAAGTGCAAGGAGACGAATAGTGTAATTTAATTTTCCAACGATCGTTCAAGCCGATTCAAGGTGTCTTGAACCCGTCAGTAATCGTTACGAGCCGGATGGTAGGAGCCGCGGCTTGAAACTAGAAGGCATGTCAATCATACGTATCCCTCGTAGATCAGCAGCTCGATGCCCTACCCTCAATTCCCTCCCATTTTTCCCCCAGGACGAGAGTTCGTGGTTCGTGCCGTGGCGCCGATTCCTTTTCTCCGCCCTCCATTATTCGCCTGGCTACACTTTCGCCCCGGTGGTAGCATCTTTCTTCCGTTTCTTCCATTCCCACGGTTTCCACGAACAACGACTAATCAACGGCATCGCTGCTCGCGAAATCCCACGATATGACCAATTCCGCGGAAAAAGGGAGGATGATGTGGTGGTTGATAGTCAGGGAAAGGGGGAGGGGGGAGGATTGTTCATATATCCAGCGTTAAGTCGACGTTTTTCCACTCCAACCCGGTGTTCTGATAACCGGCAAAGGGGCTTGATTCCGCAGCGAATTCCGCGGATACCGTGCAGACGCGCCAGTTAGTCCTGATTTTCAATCCTTTACGATTGCCAGCCGCCGTGGCTGGGTTTAATGATTTTATTACGGAGCGTTATCGTAAAATCAGATTTTACGCCAGATGCACCCGACCTTCCGGGGGGATAATTGAAACTGTACGGGATTTTTGGAATCTTGTTCGTAAATTCTTGTTCGGTGCCAGTGGTAGAAACAATAAGAAATATACGGTGGTTTTCAAATTTTCGGAACCACTTGGTAGTGGACGAGTTTAAGGGGTCTTGCGACTGTGAATCCCTACAAAATTGTCATTGTTTGGGAACTTTATTTTCAATGAACGAAATGTTTAGCGTAAATTAAGCGGTGGTTATTGAGAGTATAAACAATTTTTTTTTAAACTTTTAATAGTTTATAAATACAGAAATATGGTATTACTGATAATTGTGTATAAACTAGTATTTGAAAGATGAAAATACCGGTGTTCGGTAAACAGTGATGTATCACTGCCTGTATTCATTGTCAGTGAAAATGTCAAACAATGGTCAGACGCGCTAACCAACCGTGCTACATCAGAGTCGTGCACAAATAATCAAATATAATTTTTCGAAGACGAGGAATTGTAAAAAAATTAAATTCTATATTCTTCACTAATAGTATTACCTTTTGTTGGTTACTGTTATGAAAATACTTATAATACTACGCTACCTTAAATATATTTTAAAATAATATAGCTTCTAGGAAGATTTACGGGCAGAAAAGGTTATGTATTAATTTTTAACAAAGTAATCACCATATTTTCGGATTTGTTTATTATATTTATTAGCATCAATACAGACACGGATAATGAATGGCCATAAAAAACACGAAACATTCAACAAAACCTCCCAGCGAACAAAATAGCAATTTGAAATAACACAAAATTACAGCTAAATTTCTAATGAAATAAGTAAAAGCGGTTTTACCCCGAAAACGGCGTGAATCATTCGAAAAAAAACTACCGAGTGTCACTGACTCAAATATCACGATTTATCGCTCGAGAAACCCCTCCGAGTAATAATCCGTGCCCAAAGATTGCACCTACCACGGGAAAGCGCTGTTCGATTGTAGAACGTATTTCATACGATGTATTGATCGAAAGCGTAA